CATAGCCATCATCAAGAGATGGACCAAGGCAAGCAATTCCCTGAGCAAGAAAAAGAAAGCAGCTATAGTAGTCTATAGAATACCACTGCAGCAAGGCGTTGGAATGCAATTACCCTGAGCATGGGATCCCTTCCTAATTTTGCCTCTGACACATGTCATATTCTACCTAGATTATGGTTGTCTCTGTATGTCTTGTGATCCCTTGATATTATCAGTTTCTTGAGGACAAGGCTGCATGTTTTTTTGGTTTCCTCTCCCTGCATCTACCTTCCTAATCTCTCCACTCCATAATGCCTGTATTATCACCTCCATTTATAAGTGCTGTCATTGATGTCACCTTTAGCAGACTTTGTCTGCATAAACTGTTAATAAAAGGAAGAAGCATTTCATTGCTCTAATTTGTACTGAGCCCCACCCATCTAGAAATCACCTTTTCTTTTTTTTTTAATAAAAAAAATTGTATTTACTTAGAAGCATTCAGAATGTCAACAAAACAGCTGCAACTTTTTTTTTTTGCAATTACAGAGTGGTATTCAGTTAACAGAACAACATTTCATATAAGCTACATCAGAGACAACTGAAGATGAAAAACTACCGTCCCCATATATAACTAATTTGTGCTGTGCACCAACAAGAACCTGGTTTAAATTTCCATGCCAATTTACAATCCCCATACTGTACTAGGCAAGGTTAGTGGCTATTGAAATACCACCAGGACAGGGCTATCTAAAGACACATTCGGTAGTGTGTTAACTATACAAAAAAAGACACTGTACAGTTTAAAAACAAATCTTACACAGCCTTACATTTCAATTTTTTTCTTTAAAAGGAGTGAGTTGTGTACAGGGGGGTTAAATGCTTTATAGACAAGAAAAAAAACTGCGCTAGAACCAACTTATTCATCATCATCATCTTCTTCTTCTTCATCCTCTTCATCTTCCTCCTCCTCCTCATCCTCTTCATCTTCCTCATCCTCCTCCTCTTCCTTCTTTTTCTTGCTCTTTTCAGCCTTGACAACTCCCTTTTTTGCTTCATCAGGTTTTCCTTTGGCTCGGTAGGCGGCGATGTCCTTTTCATACTTTTCCTTCAGCTTGGCAGCCTTCTTCTCTTAAGGCTGCTTGTCATCTGCTGCAGTATTATTCCACATTTCTCCCAGTTTCTTTGCAACATCACCAATGGAGAGGCCAGGATGTTCTCCTTTGATTTTTGGGCGATACTCAGAACAGAACAAGAAGAAGGCCGAAGGAGGCCTGTTGGGTGCATTGGGATCCTTGAACTTCTTTTTTGTTTCTCCTTTAGGAGGGATATAGGTTTTCATTTCTCGTTCATAACGGGCCTTGTCCGCCTTTGCCATGTCTTCAAATTTTCCTTTCTCTTTAGCAGACATGGTCTTCCACCTCTCTGAGCACTTCTTAGAAAACTCTGAGAAGTTAACGGAAGCATCTGGGTGCTTCTTGTGCTCCTCTCGACAAGTTTGCACAAAGAATGCATATGATGACATTTTGCCTCTCGGCTTCTTAGGATCTCCTCTGCCCATGTTCACTTGTTTTCTCGGCGCTGTCTCTATGGAGCTCAATGTACTGCAATGGCTGTGAGAGCGGGAGCCAGACCGAAATCACCTTTTCTTAATCCCACTAACATTCTTATAATGATATCTTCCCAGGTGTATAACCCTATGATTGCCCATAGAAGAGAACTATTATATGAAAGAAGATGGGAGAGCGAACAATTTGTTTCTGATATGAATCTTTGACCTGTGACATTGGACAGTTTTGCACTTAGCTAACAGATAAATAGTTGGCCTCTTATAAGGGATACTTTTGGCAGATGAGCTACTTCAACAGGGAACTTACCCACAATAGTGCTTGCTGCTAGACACTCTACACTGTAAATATAATTCTGATAGTAAGAAAATGTTATACATTGTTTGAGATTATTGCCTAACCAGCATTTCCAGGAAAGGAATAAAGGAAAAATGTTCTTTGATGAAGAAGGTATCAGCTATGGAAATTAAATCAAGAGTCAGCAAACTTTGGCCCATAGGACAAATCCTGCTTACTGCCTAGTTTTGTAAATAAAGTTTTTTGGAACAACATCACACCCACTTGTTTCAGATCGTCTTTGGCTGTTTTATCACTCTGTAACAAGAGAGCTGAATAAGAGACCACAAGGCCAGCAAAGTTATTCACCTGATCTGCACAATCCAAAAACTTACAAGGTAATTTTATCCTCATTCACTGGGGATATTGGCCTAAATTAATCCCTAGGTTACTTTCTGTTGATGTCTCAAAAAAATAAACAATTTTTTATGAATGAACAGGCTATACCAGGTGTGAATGAGACCTGAACACAGATATAAACCATTGAAGTGGTGCTTAACTACGGGACAGAAAACTAGTAGATCAGAATGGCAAGCTAAAGGCATCCTGGAGCCAGGCAGGTAACAGAAGTTGTAGTAGTTGTAATCAGAACCTCTGAACTTGCAAGATCTCTTGGAAATCTGTTTTTATGTAGTCTCCTAATATTTAAATTTTGATATCTGATTAAGAATTTTTTTAAAAGGGAGCTAGGGTTGTAGCTCAGAGGTAGAGTACCTGCTTAGCATGCACAGTCCCTGGGTTTGATCCATAGCGCCATTGTTTTTAAGGTTAATAAAGACAGTGGGCTGGGGATTTAGCTCAGTGGTTCCACTGCCTGCTTCACAAACACAGGGTCCTGAGTTCAATCCCTGGTACCAAAAGTAAATAAATAAAAATAAAGGCAGCAAAGCATCTATGCACAATCCTTCAGTCGAATGCTTGTAGAAGCTTTCTTCATAGTTGCCAAAACTTGAAAGCTATCAAGATGTCCTTCAGCGAGCAGGGATAAATAAACTGTGGTCCATCCAGACAATGGAATATTATTCAGCACTAAGAGGAAGTGAGCTGTCAAGACAGAGAAAGATACCAGGAAACCTTACATGCATATTACAAAGTGAAAGAAGCCGGTTTGGAAACGCTACATGCTGTGTGAGTCCAACAATAAGAGATTGTGGAAAAGATAAAGCTCAAGACAGTGAAGAGATCAGTGGTTGTTAGGGATTAAGGGGAAAGAAGGGATGATAGGCACAGAATGGAATTTTTAAGACAATGAAACTACCTTTTATGATAATAATATAATGGTGAATACATGGCATTACATATATAAAACATACAGAACATGTAACACCAATGAACTCCAGTGTTGGGATGTACCATAGCTCAGAGATAGAGCATTTGCCTAGCTTATGCAAGGGCCCAGGTACAATCTCCAGGACCAAAGGGAAAAAAATGGACTCTAATGTAGACCCTGTAGTTTGAGTGTTTATAATGTGACGGTGTTGGTTCATGGATTATAACAAATTAACCACTCTGGTGCAGGATGTTGATAATGGGGGTTAGGGGCAAATGGAAAGAAAGGAAATATACAGGAACTCTGCATTTGCCACTTGCTTTTACTGAAAACCTAAAACTACTTTTAAAAATAAAGTCTATTTTTTCAAATACTAGGGCAAACAACACACAGTCAGACTCTAACCCACCAGTTTACAAGTCCTGATGTTGTTTCAACTGTAGAGGTCGGGCTAATGCCCGGCCAGAGTGGCATCGGACAAGCATTAGCATTAGAGAGGATGATCACAGCACCAGGCCAGAACAGGGCTGAAGGAAGTGTAAGTGACCGTGCCAGCAGTTGATGCCACAGGCCTTGCAGTAATGGCCTTTTGGGGCTGAGCCATAAACCCAGAGGCATGGCCTGTTTGAGATGGCTGGCCTGACAGAGAAGGGTTCCTGATGTAAAAGAGCAAGGGAAGTAAAAAGACGATTAGGATTCAGTCATTCTGGCAGAAAGAGGGGAGATCCAATGACCAACGTGGGCCAGCAAGTAGGAACTTGGGTTGTGTCCAGACAAAAGCACTCCAACTTGAATTATGGATGAGAGGCAGAGCAAGCTAACTGGCTCTTGAAGCTAATTATCAGTTTTGGGGTAAATTCAATAGATGCGAAATTCAAGTTAGCATGGGGGTGGGGAGAAATGTGTTGGCTCATGTAACTGAAAAACCCAATAACAGTGCTGTCTTGAGGCAGTTTAGGTGTCCATTGGGCTGTTAGGAGTCTGTATCTCTATGTCTGTCACCATTCCTTTGTCGTTTACCTTCTCTCTTTTCATTCAGGCCATTTCTAGATAACACTCCTCAGTAAACCCTAGCTTACATTATCTTATAGCAAGAAAGCTTATTGGGCAAACAAGTTATCTTCCCCAGTAGTCTCAGTAAGACTTAGGTCATGCACCCATTCATGAACTTATCACTGTGACGGGGTGGCTTTTTAATCAGGTCTGTGCAAAGGAAAATCCAAAATGCCATTCCCAGAATGGATGGTAGAATGTAAAAACAATAGAATCCCACTATAGCAAGTTATCTAAGTTAACAAAGGCTTTAAAAATTCCCTGCTGTTTGTCCTTCATATCAAAGTCAGAGAAGAAGATAAAAAGATTCTAGGGCTGGGGGAGGGGTCAAAGATAAAGAGAGAAGTTGCCTAACATGTTCAAGGCCCAGGGTTAAATCCTGGTGCCACAGGAAGGAAGAAGCTTCTAGAACGTGGAGCAGGTCATTATAAAATGTCTTCATTTATGGTATGAACACTGGGAAACTTCATAAATACTGAAGATTGATGATGATGAACAACTCCATCTCAGTGTAATTGTCAAATGAACATATCAAAATGAGAATAAAGCTATAGAACTGGTAACCAACGTTAAATGCTTCACATTTTAGATAGGATATAAGTGAAATATTAGTGCAGTATGTAACAATTCTTTGGGCTGAAATCAAGTCTAGCATCTTACATTAAGAAGATTAATTAATTAATGTTTATAAAGTACTGTGCAGATATGCCCTTTTAAAATGCTAAGTATTCTAAAAACTACATTGTAGCATTTTACTAAATGTAAAAGATCTAATGTTCATCATTTCTTTGGTACAGGTTGGCAAGGATTCTTTTGGCAATGATTATGTAGAAAACTTAAAACAGAATGATATTTCTACAGGTAAAATTTATCTTTCTAAAAGTTAGTGTTTATAACTTTCTTCTGTAATCTTGTTATAAAAAAACAGGGCACAGAATAGAATTACTAGATCCTCCACTGGTGGCCAGAAAGTTTTTATGAACAGCTTTGTTTGATCTTGCTTAAGTGTCCCCTGGTGAATTCTTTTATATAAATCCCTCCAGATGGGAATAAAAGGATAGGAGGTTACAGACCTTCATCTCACGGAGAAAACAGGTGCTGCGTTTCACAAAAGGTATTTTAAGAAAAGTCATTGAATGTTATAGCTGAAAACAATCCTAGAAATCATTGAGACTAAAACCATTGTCACAGAAGAGAAAACTGAGGGCCCAGCAGGGTTGTGTGATTTTTCCAAGAGTACACAGCCAGTCAGAGTCGGAGCCAGGACTAGAAGGAAGGTCTCCTGACTCCAGAGCCCTTTGCTTCTGCCAAGGGCTGTCCCATCAGCATCCTGTTTTCATACAGGTCATGATTCTCAACAAAGTTCAGAGCTTATAAAAATAAAGAAAATCAAACAAGTTCATTTTATGTGTTCAACCTTTTTTTTTTTTAATCTCAGATGTGTCAAAGAAAATAAATGTACTGGTCTGGAAAAGGCATATGTATTCAACTCTGAGTAATTTTGGAGAATTGGAACTGGGGTGATTTGATAGGTTGTTACTGTTACAGAGAAAAGGTGCCACTAAATATAAAGATGCTTATTTTCCTCATCGTATAGGTGATGGGTATAAATTAGCACTAATTACTTATTTTTTAACTCATTCCAGATGGTTAAAGGTTAAAAACTTTTTCCAAGGATTGGTGTTGCATTGAAATTGTTAAAAAAAATTATCTATGCCAGGCTGTATGTACATGACTGTAATTTTCTTTTTTCTTGTAGAATTTACATACCAGACTAAAGATGCTGCTACTGGAGCTGCTTCTATAATTGTCAATAATGAAGGTATGTATTCACACTGAAGCATCATTTCCTGAAAGATCATTTCCACAGCTGCATTGGGATTTTTGACCCTAATCTTACAGATCTCTCACTCTATCCACCACTCCAAGGCCTACCCAGGGCTTTTCCAGTCCAGATATGTTTCCCTTTATTTATACTTTCCATGATGATCATTTAAATATAAAAGTATCCATCCAGAATATAAACAGTGGGCCAGAGATTTAGCTCAATGGTTCTTCCGCCTGCCTCGCAAGCACAAAGACCAGAGTTCGATCCCCAGTACCAAAAAACAAAATGTAAACAGTGATTAAAAAACAATAGAGTATGTTCAAATTTTTTTAAAAACTTATTACATCAAAAGACACATTGCCAAGAATGATGAGATGAGTATGTGTGAAGGAGTGAGGGTGTTTTGAAAGATGATGAGTGGCGTTGTGTCTTTTACTTCAGTACTTTGGTGGAGCAGGTACCAGGTCTCGCTGTGTAGCTAAGGCTGGTCTTGAACTCACTATGTAGTACAGTCCGGCCTTGGACTCCTCGCAGTCCTCCTGCCTCAGCCTCCAGAATGCTGGGTTTGAAGGCGTGCGCCACCACACCTGGCTGAAATATATTTTTTAACTTAAACGTTCACTGTATTTTTATCAACCTTTGTTGATTAAACATTTATGGCAATTTCTGTCAACTAAAAGCACTAATGTGTCCTCATTCTTTTTTTTCCACTGGATCTGACACTGTGTGGCTTCTAGCTCTTCCCCAGTGTCAAAATGACTATGAAAGGTGAATGTTTTGAATATATTCAGGGCTTTAAGATGGCCATGACCGCTGGGGATTTAGCTCAATGGTGCCGCTGCCACCTGCCTCGCAAGCACAAGGCTCCGAGTTCGATCCTCGGTACCAAAAAATAAAAACAAAAACAAAAAGATGGCCATGGACAGCGCAGCTAAAGATGTTCATAAAAGATTCCTAAAAGAGGACTTCCAGAACTTCCTCAGAAAGTGGCACGAACAATGGAATAAGTGTGTTCAAAGCGAGGGGAGGACTCGGAGGAGGATGGGCCGTGATGTATCTTAGTGTAATAAATGTTTTTAATTTAAGTAATCTCCATAGTCTTTGATCATACCTCACAAATGAAGCATTACAGTTATATCCAAATAATATTTATACCCTGTAATGACCCTTTACCCTTCATGCAAACTCAGAATTGACATTTGTCTCCAAAATCAGTCCAGTATTCATCTGTCATTTCCATGACACTGTGTAAGTAAACGTAAATAGATGCAAAAGAAAATTTGATGAATCATATTTATAGAATATTTAATGAGCAAATGGCAGCAACTAATTACATATTTCTAGCTTATCGTTAGTGTTCAATTTGTTTGCTCTTTCAACAGCAATCAGGTCTCGAAAGTCTGTATTTACAACTAAGTCTGCCACAAAGCTGTACCATAGTTGAAACATTTATCTTTAAAAATGATAACTACTTTTAAGTTAGAGTTTCATAATTTCTCCCAACTGTTTTAAATGTAAGAACACCTACCTAAGATTTTTAAAACTCAGATCACTCTGCAGAAAGACCAAGGATTTCATGCAACATCTATGACAAACCTAATGCATTGTAAGCAGGCAGTTTATACTGGGTTCAATTAGGATTTGTCACAGTATATCTTTTGTTTATATGGTTTTCCTCCCTTTTTCATGGAAGAGTATGTTTTGGGTTTCAGGACTGTAAACAGTACTGAGAAATCTGTATATAATACAAATATATATTTATATACCACTATTGCTATATAATCTAATATGTTAATATTTTTATAATTAATATGATGCTATATTGATTTTATTCTTTGTTTCTAATGATTTTTCCTATACATGTATGCCTATAATAAAGCTTAATTTATAAATTAAGAACAGTAAGAGAATAAGAACGATAACAGTGTGGAATGATTATAGCAGTATACTGTAGCTAAAGTTATATGAACGTGGTTTCTGTGTCTACATCTCAGAATCTTTTTTTTGTCTGTGTGTGTGGTAGCAGGGATCAAACTCGATCTCCAGACCTTGTGTTTCTGAGGCAGGCGGTGGCACCACTGAGTTAAATCCCCAGCCCTTTATCTCAGAATCTCATTGTGCTGTATTCACCCTTTTTGTGGTGATGTAAGATAACACAATGTCTGTATGATAAGAGAAGGGAGGTGGGTGGGGTAGCATCAGGCTGCTATGCAAGGTTCACTTGCACACAAGCAATGCAGTGTCTCAGTGGTCAGTCTGATCATTGGGTGGCTGTTACGTGACTGCCTCATCAGCATGTGTGTACGCAGGTGATGGGTGCACGGGGCAAGGGATAATTCACGTCCCAGACGGCATGGAGTGAGATGGCATGTGACTTCACCATGCTACTCAGAATAGCAAGCAATTTCAAATCTATGAATTGCTTATTTCTGGAATTTTCCATTTAATTTTTTCAGACCACAGTTTGACCACAGGTAATTGAAACTTTGGGAAATAAAACCATGGATACAGAGCATTACGATAACACAGTTTTGCAAGATCATTTTACAGAATAAACATGGTATTTTAACTCAACTTTAATGATCCTAAAGTTAGAATAATAAATTGCCTAATAAAAGTTTTCATTCTGGCAACAGAAAGTCTGTTCATTACTTTATGCTACACTATAAATTAAACTATTGCTACCAACAGCAGCTGAATTCATGCCTTCAACCTCTTATTCTAGGGATATAGCATTGTTTTGTTTCTTTCTTACCTATGAAACAAAACCTGCATTTTCCATGCAAAGACATAATTTAACATTATATGTTATGTACCCATTATAGTTGGCTTTGCCTAACTTTAGTATAACAGTATCCTCAAGAGTATAGATTGTAGGGGCCAGGGATTTAGCTCCGTGGTTTTGCCACCTGCCTTGCAAGTGCAACATCCCGAGTTCTATCCCTGGCGACAAAAAAAAAAAAAAAAAAAA